GCGGCTTTTGGGCATGCTCTTTTGCAGCGCTGCCGTGCGGGTGTGAGTGTGCGGCCACACGTTTCTGTGGGTCCGGATAGCTGGCGCCTATGAAACGAGGAGAGTACTGCGCTGAAAAGGTGCGATGCATGGTTGCTGTGGCCATTACCGCCCGTGCCACTTACCTCTCAGTGTATCTCGCGTTGATTTCTGTGCAATTGCCTCTGTGTGTCCGTGTTGGAGTGGCGTGGCGCGGCTTGGTGTGTGGGTGTTCGCCATCGGGGGAGCGCCGCAGCAGTGCCGATGTGGGGGGAGCTTGACCGGGTGCACGCGGAACTCCCCACGTCAAGCACAAACACAGCGGCAGACAGGCCAGCCCTGCTGGAGGGGCCTTGGCGTCGTGCGGTGCCACATGTGCAAGAGCACGAAGCCGCACCGCTGCCGTGGCCCACGCTGCGGTCATGACACTTCCACGCCAGCAATAAAACCTTGAATGGGCAAGTGTGTCTGTTGCACGGGCTTGAGCGCGTGGCTCTGCCGGAACACGACTGCCCCAGCGCAGCTACCGTGAAACTACTGGTGCAGCCTTTACTACAGGATCTGCGTGGTGGCGACACGACGGCACTCTTCGACGCGCAGCGGCTTCAACCCACTCATCGAGGACTTTGAGCCGCTCCATGTGTTCGCCACGCACCACCCGCAAGAGATGTGAGGCGCACTGCACACACGAGCACCAGCAAGGACAACAACGACAACAACACATTGGTAGCGATTCTATTGATGTTTCTCCTGTGAGGGGAACAACACAAACAACAATTTATCATGTGGATCCTGCTGCACGTGCGGGCCTCTGTCCGCATGCGTGCATGCGTGCGTACTCGTGCCTGTGCCCCATTATCTGTGGTTTCCACGACGTGCTTCTCCCGCTTTGCTCATTGCAACCTACTTCTAATAGCCTTCCACCACACTAGCTAGCGGAAAGAGCCCCCAAAAGAGCGAAGAGTGTAAACCAAATCATAGCGGACACAAAATTCAACAACCAAAACCGCTGAAAAGGTTGTACCATATTACAACCACTACTATCTATCAGTAAGAGGAACGAAGAACATCAACAACAGGCACAGGAAGAAGGGGCTCCTCACTTCCTCATCATCGTTCGGCTCTTACCCCTTTCCACATACTCCGCACCCCCGGGTAGGATTAGTGGCCGGTTTTTCTTTTCTTTTTAGTGTTCCTACACTTACTTCGTGTCCGCGTGCTGTGTGTGACTCACCGCCGCACGGCCTCTCAGTCTGCTTTCTTCTCTGCGCAGCCAAAGCAGCAGAAGTAGCAGCACGGTACGTGGGTGGCGTCAAGGAACACGTAGGTAGGTGACCAACCGCAAAGCAAACAAAGAAATAAACCAACAAACAACAAACCACCACCTCAGCAATATCAGCGGAGTACGAGAGTAATAAGGAAGGAGAAGGGTGGATCAAGAGGGAATCGTTTTTGCACGTCGCTCGTTGAAAGTAAGAAGAATTAGGGGAAGGCGCGACACACACACACACACACACACACACA